TAGATTAGCGCTTAACCCGGGTTTTTTTTTTCTTTTGGCCAAAAGCATTTCTTTGGATAACTTTCTCTGTTATTTTTAAGAGCATCCAATCATCAACTTTTTGACAAAATATATTAAACTGAATTTACTTTTTAAGCTTTCACATCTGAATTCAAATTTCGCACTAACCCTGGGTTATCTTAACCAGCTTCGAACAACCCGGGCCAGGGGCCCGTTTCTCGAAAGTCCCGATAATTAACGGGCCCGGTAAGCTGTCTCCATTTACATTAAAGATCGAGGTTTTAATAGATTTGCATCTAACATGATAAAACTGTCAGTTAATGAAACAAAATGGTGTAGTTTGCTAGCCAGGACCCGCGCTGTTATTCTTTATATTTCGATTTGAATATTTGATTTCGGGCCCGTAAAGTTACCGGGACGTTCGAGAAACGGCCCCCAGGTATTGTTAAAAAGCAAATAGTTGACAACGTTTTAGATGTGATCATTAATTTTATTTCTTGGGAATTCCACATTTAGATAATTACTGAAATTTACTATAAAATGAAACCGTTACTGGCAAGTCTTCTTAACTTGCGTTGATATTAACGACCTGCTTCACTTACACTAAACTTCTCACACGTTTCAAGGGAAACATCAAAGCTTTCAGTGGAATGTGTGTGCTCACGTCAATAACTTCCTCAGTACTGATTTGGTCGAGTGAGTTGATTTCAGTGACTTGAGTGGCGCCACTGTAGGCTGGCTTATAAGTTATATATAGATAACATAGAGCTAAAATGTTCGTTTTTCTGGTGCCGAAAACATCACAAGTCATGATGAAATATGAAATGGTGCCGCCGAGCTACATATCGCGGTAGATTTACTTTGTGGCACAACGGCAGCTACTACACAACTCGGTAGTTTTCCTTTGTGTAGCACAACGGCCGCCAAGCTACTACTCAACTCGGTTGATATACTTTGTGGCACAACAGTCGCCGAGATAAACAACGTGGTTTCATTGATGCATGCACCAGGAGTAGCACACATTTTCCAAAGACAGTTACGAACCATGCTGAAAAGTATGAAGAGGGTCTCAATGGGGTGGTAGCATTTACGGTTATCGGCTAAAATTTTGGCTCTTTTACGGCTATCGGTTAATTTTTTTCAGTTACGGTTAATTATAAAATTAAAAATTAATTTCTTTGTTTCAAAGAGTTAAATATTAATAAACCTGTATTTTTTTGTATCTTTAAAGCAAACTGAATGTCTTAGGGTCATCTCTGGATGAAATAAGTTATTCTTCTGAAAATTTTTAATATTTCATAGATCACGCTTTTAGAGTATTCCACTTCTAATATCATTTTACGCATAGAAATGTCAACTATGAAAACGTTTGTCATCTTTTGCATCTTTGCGTGATTTCCTTTTCTTCAGGGGCTACTGATTCGTTCTTCGGCGTCGCTTTGTATTTGCTACCCTCTCCTCTTTTTACTACCACGACAGGGTCTTTACCCCATTGAAGAACAGATTGTACAACATGAACTAAAAAGGAACAAGCATACAGATTGAGACTCGAACATTTCTGTGACTCTCACATTTACAAGTGTCGGAGCCAAGCTGAGAAGTACGCGGCTTTGAAGATCTTTGCCGCAGTTTTCTTATTCTCTTAAGCTGCAGAACTCTTTGTTTAAAATAGAAACAAAAGGTTAAGCTATTGCCAGTCAACTAGAATTTTTTGTGAGCCATAAAAAGGACCATTCCTTATAAAAGACATAACAGTTTATTTGATCAGAATCTTCGTGAAAAGCAAAACTAGTAGAAACGGGAACGTAAAGAGCCAAAGTAGCCGCGAAATAAGAAACACAACCGTTCTACGGTGAGTTTAGCACCTTCCTCAAATTATCAAATTTAAGGAGCAAAATTTTTTTACGGTTAACTCTTTTTACCCTATTTACGGCTAACGGTTAAAATTTTTCAATTTTTACGGCTATCGACTAAATTTTGGGCCGTTTTACGCCTATCGGTTAACCCCATTGAGACCCTCTATGAAGGCTTAATCCAAAGTAAAATTTTACTCAGGGTGTTGAACGCTTCGGAAGATTCAACAAACACAGATCGATAGTAGACCTTCAGCAAACTCTTGAAATATGTACGCTTTACGAAGACAAATAGTAGCGTCGAGGACAAACGAATCACCACGTGAGTTAGCGCGTCAAGGTGAGGCAAAACGTAAGCAATTACCTCAAAGCGAGGCAAATGTGTGTCGACACAAATGCAATCTCGAAAAAACCTCCCTTACTAGGAGTAATCGGTGTGTTCGATATGTTTGTTAGGCGTACAGGTAGCAGTTGCGGGGGAAGGGTGGATGATTCTTACGATAGATAACTGTGATTGTGGCATATTTTGAACGTAAGTATTGCGTACGGCGAAACCTCTATTTAAACTGTGTATCATTATGAAAAGGTTTTGAAGGCTAGTGATAAGAGTGACATCGTATGGTTCGTCTCAAGTGTTTGTAGTTTGAGGAGACATTGGCTAGAGCACACCTGTAAAAATAATTGTTTGCTTTACTGGTGCTTTTGTTCAGAAACATTTGTTTGGGCAATATTCTCTGTTATTGTTAAGAGCATCCGATCATCAACCTGTTGACAAAATGAAGCGTTCACATCTGAATTCAAATTTCGCACTAACCCTCCTCGCCTGGGTTATTTTAACCCAGTGTTGAACAACCTGGCCCAGGTAGATTTATTTTGTGGCACAATGGCCGCCGAGCTAAACAACACGGTTTGATGCATGTACCAGGAGTCGCACGCATTTTCCAAAGAAAAATATAAAGGCTTAATCCAAAGTAAGATGTTACTCAGAGTGTAAACTTTCAGCAAACTTTTGAAAGAGGAACGCTTTGGAAGATTCATTAAACACAGATCGATAGTAGACCTTCAGCAAACTCTTAAATATGTATGCTTTACGAAGATTCAGCACACTTTTAAAAGATGAACGCTTTACAGAATAGCAGACCTCAGCAAACCTTTTAAAGATGAACGCCGAGGACACGAGAATCACCACGTGAGTTAGCGCGCCAAAGTGAAGCAAAACGTAAGCAAGCGCCTCAAAGCGAGGCAAATGTGTGTCGGCACAAATTCAATCTCAAAAATACCTCCCTTTTTAATTACACAGGACACTCAATAATGTGCAGAATACCCAACAGAAATTAGGGGTTGCGTTCTCTTACCTCGAACGCAATAACCAAATAGTGGTTAAAGGTTATGCAGCGTTTTAAAGTCTGAGTATGTTAAAAAAGAGAATACGAAAGGGTTACCTTTATGTCAAAAATGGTATATAAAAAGTTAAGGGTTTGGACCTCGGGTTAGAGCTTTCTCTATTAAAATGGGTTGAGTACCTCCGCCCACCCTTTCGGGGTGTACAATCTTTTTAAGGCCATTAATTTTAAGTTGTATTCGTTAACAAATTGAACAAACGAAAAAGTGTAAGTTATATTGTATTTTTTTTCAGGTTTCTCTTCGGAAACAAAATCAAGAAAATCCCTGATGGAGCCTTCAGGAATATGAAAAGTCTTCGAATAATGTGCGTAACAACTGAATCATCAGCATCATTCACCTTGTTGGTGCCTTTCTATTATTAACATTTGTTCTTGAATTTACTCATTACTTTGCTTGTCATTATTAACCCTAAAATCCAGGTTTTTGTTCTCTTTTAGCTTGCTTCAAAATAACAACCTAACGAGAATCCCTGATTACGCATTCAAGAATCAAAGATTTCTTGAAGTAATGTACGTACGAAAATGACTGCCTTTGTTAGTTGTCGCTATTCGCTATGCCTTTTGTACAGTAACATGGGAGGACCATAGGTTTTGGGTTATTTTGTCTTGTTGGAAGGAATGCCCTAAAGTTTTCCAGAATCAAAATATTGCATATTCTTTCGTAATATGGAAGCAGCTTGTGGCACCCACACAAGCAAACAGTAATCAACTATATAGACTGAGGGCAAAGAAAAAAGTCCTTAGAACAAATTATCGTTGCTTCAAAGTACCATTTTTTCTCAGAGGAGTAATTAGTATTTTTTTCAAACTCTTCCTTTGCAATTTTGTTCCTTTATAGTGTATTTAATTCGATGACACGGAATTATAGCACTGAATTTCACGCCACGATGGTATGCGGCAGCCATTCTTTCAATACTTGAAATAATTTACCTAGGAGCAGAAATATTCCTTTCAGTACCCCCTTAATCACACTATATACACGCACCTCAAGTAAAAAATGCTTTCCCTTAGCAACGCGAAAGATAGGTCAGAGGGCCCTTAAATGAAACTCTCGAGGTTAAGGATCAAAGTCCAATTGGGAGCTCACTAAAAGTAAGAAAAACTTTTTCCACGGAAGCGGACTTTAGGCAATTCTACTTGAAAACCATTGTTTCTTGTGCAAAATGATCTACTCTTTCAATCTACGACTTAAAACATTATTTTGAGGACTTTCAAAGACCAGTTGCCCGTTTTTGTGCTTAATTGTGTTTTCTGTTGATGAAGCTTCCAGATCCTTGTTCCCAATGATTCTTAAACTTCTTTGTTCAATATTCTTTATGGGACTTTTTCGGGTGTCTGACCAAACAAGACCAAGTGACCCTCAGCGTGTGAAAGTTAGTAGAATCATAGTGATATAGATTATTTCAGCGCATTTTCCATTGACAGACGGGCGAATTGACCTTAAAAGGGTAACTCTGCTTGCTACCTTCTTGTAAGTTCTATCAAAATATGATGTAAGGTTCAGATTGATTAGGCGTAGGTCAACGCCCGGTACTTGTACGGAAACTTCCTTTAACAGAGGTGTTCAGTCCTTTTTCTCGAAGGTTGAGTCGTTTTAGCTTGCAGTCTTGCCATTCTTTCAGGTTGATGATCAGTTTACTATCGTCGAACCAAATTCCTAAGATGATTTTAATCTCCAATATGATTTCGTGTGGACTGTCAATGTTGTGTTGAAGGCAGATTGAAGTGTTTGTGTTTCCAGGCAAAAGTTGAAACTAGACGAAAAGATGGTATTATCAGCGAAGATATCAACATAGCCGAGGGTAGATGGTTAATGAAAGTAAGAAACAAAAGGGGGCCTAGAATGCTTCCTTTAGCGGCCCATTGTGTAACAATAAGTAAAGCCGAATTGGTGCCGTTTATGCGGACATACTGCTTTCCATTGGCACGATTCTCTAAATAATTGTAAGTTAAAATCATCGCTTTAACATGCCTTCAGTTTAGCAAGAAGAGGGTCATGTCTATTATATTCAACGCACATAAGACCAGCCACATTATTGTTGTCAATATCAAAGAGCGACTTGTTCTACTGTAAACTGCATCAATACAGTTTCGGTTGAATTTTCTTTTTCCAAAACCAGACTAAAATCCATAGCGCAGGTTATTCATAGAAAGGTGCGAGTACACTGAGTCATAGATATGCCTCTCAAAGCTCTTAATTGAATCAGAAGAGCCAAAATTGGACGAAAATTAGAAAATCGGTGAATGTCGAAAAAATTGTGTTACCCGTTCTTACGCTGACAACCTCTTAAAATTCCGCATGCAATTTTGCACGCCAAGCAAAGTGAAATATAAACGTTCGAAACCATAGGAATTTTTTTTTGGTAATTTTTTTTCGCCGCTGCATCCTTTTTTTTAAATAACAACATTTGCTTGTTTGTTTGTTTGTTTTTTTCAGAATGCTTTCAGATAATCGAGTGGAGTTTATTGGATCAGAAGCATTTACAGTTCCAAGAAATGACCTATTAGTGTAAGTTTTCTATGTACTGTAATAAAGAAAAAACAATTTTTTTTCTTTTCTTTTTTTGACTCTATTTTTTAAAATATTTATCTGGAATAAATCCTCGTTTCCAATATTATCTATAAAAATTCTGGAATAAGCTCTTGATCTTCAGAACGCTTTTCTTGACTTCATAATTGAGCAAGCAACTTTAAAAACTCGAAAGCTTTTTCTTCTTCAACTGCTGTACATCAAATTAGATGTATACCTTCTTTCTTTGAACATGTAACCTATACTATAGTGTTACACTTCACTGACGCCAGAAATCATAACGATCACCACAAAATCAGATAACGTGATTGTTGGGGATGGATCAAGGTTTATTTACTTTTTCATAATTAACAAATAAAGCACGCAGGAAGCGGCTAGAGCACAAAAGAAGTTTAGGGGAAACAGGAGACAGTCGAGTGTTTCTTCCTACGTCTTGAGTGCTCTAGTCGCTTCCTAATTACGTTCCAAGAGAAGAGAGCACAAACAAGCTTCTTTATTTGTTTTACGATAAAGAATTAGTTAAATTCCCCACGCACTGCTTTTTATTTTCCAAAACAAACTACATCTTCACAGCGAACCACGAGTGTCGTCAGCATGTTACACTCTCATAAGACATGCTTAAATTAGCCAATCACAATCATTTTTCACTGAACGAAAAATTTGATTTACACCAAATTTACTTGGTGCAAGTATGATGCAAAAAAAGTGCAAACTAAGGTTAAATCAAGGGCAAACAGGGTCAATACCTTATTTGCCCAGGAATTTACAGCCCCATGTAAACTTTTATGCAAATAAGGTGTTTACTATCCTTGCCTTTGATTTTAGAATGGCCAAATGATTTGATTGGTTGAATAAGACAAAAGCTGTCAAAGCTGTGAAAGCATAAAAGCTATCACAAAGTGAAACGAGCGAAACATTCCGTGAATTTAAATGCAGAGAAATGTATTTTTTACGTCCAAAAATCAGTTTCTAGAGGTAACAAGTTCTTTTAAACCCGGCCGAATTGCTGTTCATGAAAATCTGGACGTCAAAAAACATGACAATTTGAAAGCAAACTGCTCGTTTCGAAAAGTGCCCCAAAACTGGACCCTAAAGTAAGCTTATTCAAAAATTCTATAAAATTCGCGGACGTTTTCGCAGAAGTCATGCTGTATTCTCGCGATCGAGTTTTGAGCTAATGTTATGAAGGAACATATAAATAGACAGAGAAGTTATTTGTTGAAAATGTTTATTCGAAAACTAAGAAGTTAATCGTTTAAAGCAAGTTTCATCGGATGAGCACATGGAAAAATTCAACACAAAATCCATGTCAAATATTAATCGGGGTGCATTATGTAATTTTTCTTTAGGGCAGATGACCAAATTTATAAAACAGTTATACATACCTTATTCGTACTTATTATTCATTCAAAATAATTCCTCGATTCTGATTGGCTAAAAGCACACGTTTAATTCACCATAGCCAGTTTCTGATGACCAAATTTGGAAGAATTCTGTGTTTAGCGAGGAAATGACGTCAAAAATGCAGCTTTCGTGCAGGTTAATGCACCGTTAACCGAGAAGACCTGGGGACGAGGTTGAGTTGTTTTGGTTGTGAACTTGAAAAATAGCGGACATTTCACTCGTTTCAAGAGTAAGAACTAGGCGAAAAAATGGCTAAAAACATGGCAAGAACAGTAAGAAGACAACTCGAAGGGCGAGATCTGCTATTTGGAGAATATTTGCGGAGCTGGACTGAACCTAAACGTGCACTATCGAAGATGAATTTAACATCGATGGATCGATAGAGGTAAGCATGTTTTAGTCGTGTTTTTAAACTAGGAATTATTTTGAATGAATAATAGAACAGTTATTGAATTCAGCTTTCGTATCATATTTAGAATTATGGTGATCTCGGAGGGTGTTATCCGCCTCGGCCTACGGCCTTGACGGAGAACACCCTCCTCGATCTCCATAATTCTTCATAAGATACTCAGCCTCATTCATTACTGCGCTTTTCACAAACATGCGAACTCTAAAGTTCAAAAGCCGCCTTCACAATTGCGTTTTTCGCTGCGGTCAATCATAATTACGATCACAAGCAACGAACCTGGAAACAAAGAAACACACAAAACGGATCGAAATCTACCAATCACAAATCACAAACCTTGACCTTTTGAACCCGTTAAAGTAAAATTTTGTTTCCTAAGAGGTCCGTTAAGATGATTAACGGCAGCGAAAAACGCAATCGTCAGTTGGTTTTTGAACTTCATAATTCGCATGTTTGTGAAAAGCGCAGTAATTGTTAATTAATTTCGTGCGTCTTTAATTTCGCGATTTTTGCGATTGTAAAAAAATCGCGAAATTAAAGCCTCGCGAAATTTACACACGCGAAATTAAATTCCATGGTAAGAAATTTGAATCACAAAAAACTTGATAAACATGATCAACAACGACATGTACAGCTTATGTATCGACATGAATAATAAAGTATTCACTAGTAAGCTCTATTTTGCATCTTGTCAAGTGTGATCAATAAAGGTAATTTGCAAAGATTTCACATGAAAATATCGAGCAGAAAACCTAAATACTCATCCTCATCTGAATTACTTTTTTTCGAGCAAATCCCTTAGAATATCTTTCGTGCAGTCGTCAAAATTGCCATTATTTGGTTCCTTGTAATTCTCATTCACAAGTTTCTTGTACCGTTCCAACACTGACACATTCTTCGAGGTGGAGTCGATTTCGATGCAAACAGTGACAGGAATTTCAAGGCCACCCTGTATGAGAGGGGATCGGCGATACTTAGAATCAACTACCGTTACTTTAACGTTTCCCCCTCTTGAAACAAGAGAGCGCTTGTACCTGGAAATCTCTTGGTAAATGCCCCACAATTGAATCGGATAAGCGGCCTGGAAGTCGTGTGGTTGCTGCTATCGCATAACAGTCATGATCGTTATTTCTTTCATGGATAAAGTGCAAGGTTTCTTTAATTACTGGTTTCCAGATATCTTGATACACGTGAAATCCTCGTAAACCACACGGGAAGGTGGTTCTAATGGAATCATTCATCTTACTGGTGTTAATAGTGTAGAAAATACCGGTATATTTTCAAGTAGATCTTGTACAATAATGAATGTGTCTTTTCACAAGACATGTAAAATGAAACAAATTGACAAAAGTACGTGCATAAAATCAAATTTTGATTCACATGTCTGTACCTGTCAGTTCAAATGCTATTAGCTACTGACCTTTGTACCCTTGTTATTGCGAAAGCACCTAGCCTGTAGAGTCTTTTGAGTGGAAGAACATTTGTACCATGTCCCTATTTCAGTTTGGGTTCACTGTTAAAGAAACAGGAAATCCCCAAGAATCTACCCCAGTCTCACTCACCAAATGCTGCTGCATGTGGCTATTTACCAGAGCAGGAGGCTACTTCTCTTGGAACCGAGGAATACAATGCAGTTGTATTGTCGTTGGGAAACATTGTAGATCCTGACAAGAACTCTTCGTCGAATAGAAAGCGAGGAAATTACAACCATTACTCGCCGAAAATGCGTGCAAAAACCGGTAAGTATGCCAGTGAAAACGGAAATATAAGAGCCATAAATCACTTCAAAGCACAGCTACCGAACCTTACAGAGAGTACCGTGAGAACCTTCAAACAAGCATATCAGAAGTAATTGAAGGAAACAAAGAGACAAGGAGGAATACAAGAATTCCACACGGCACTCGTGGTCGCCCGCCCATTTTTCTTGATCTTGACCAAAAATTGATATCACTTTCAAAGAGAATACGAAACAGAGGTGGTTTTGTTAATTTTAGTGTTGTCGAAGCCTCAGCCTTGGCATTGATAAAGAGAAATCCCGCGAAAGACTTCAGGGGATTTGAGCCAACCTCAACGTGGGTCAGATCAATTTATCGACGGTGTAATTTTTCCAGGCGAGCTGGAACCACAACAAGACCTCCTGTGCCTTTAGGAATATACAAATAGTGCAAACTAACCTTTTTACTGACATCGAGAGATGCATTGCAACGCACAGTATTCCTCCGCAACTTGTTCTTAACGCCGATCAGACACCCTCATCGTACGTTTCCGTTGAAAAAATGACAATGGTAGCCCGCAGTTCCTCTTCTGTGCCAATCAAAGGCCTTACAGACAAAAGAAACATGACTCCTACATTTGTTATCTCCTTAAACGGCGATTTCCTGGCCATGCAAATAGTTTACCAAGGAAAGACGCAAGCAAGTCAACCGAGAGGCTTTGATTTTCCACGAGGGTTTGCGGTAACGCAGAATCCCAAACATTACTCGAACGAATTGGAAGCTCTCAATCTACTTGAAAACATTATTCAGCCATATGTTGCTCTAAAGCGAAAAGAATGAAATCTTCCACCAACACAGAAGGGGTTGCTGATTTGGGATGTATTTAAAGGCCAGAAGACAAACAAGGTCTTATGCAAGGTGGCATCGCTGAATATTGAAGTTGTCAGTGTGCCAGCAAATATGACCCATTTTTTCCAGCCTCTTGATTTGACTGTTAATAGAGAAGCAAAAAAGTTTATGAAAGGCTAATTCACTGTCTTGCATTGGTACTCGGCGCAAACTCAAAGTCAACTAGATTCAGGGGTGGTCCCCGGTGATGTTGATGTTGACCTGCGACTCTCCGTTCTCAAACCAATTCATGAAACTTGGATCGTTATCATGATGTACAACCATTTTTCTAGATCTGAAGGCAGACAGTCAATTGCAAAAGGATGGAAGAAGGCTGGGGCAACTGATGTTGTTAGTGGCTCAAAGAAACTTCCACCGATCCCTTCAAAGATCCCTTTGAAGACCTGGATGTTTAGGAACATTGCAGACTCTAGGACAATATGTACCTAATCTTAAGTTATTCCAGTTTATTTAGAAAGGCTGTAGTTCAAACTTTTTAGTTTGGAAAATAAAATGATGTTGACAACGCTTTCGCGAAATTTAATGATCTTTTATCATTTTTCCCCATAGAAATCGCGAAAATAAAGCTTCGTAAAATACTGTCTCGCGAAAATCGCGAAATTAAGTACGAATAAGATACCTAAATTCCCTTTCCCTCCATTTTCTTGATCATAGAATAAAAAATGTACCTGAAAAGTCTTCAAAAACTTCGCTGCCCCGGTTGAATTTCAAAACAGGACCTTTTGCGCTTCGCCGTGAAGGAAACAATGTTGAATTCCTGGAAGGACGATTCCCTAGCCGAACGTGTTCTTTAGTCCACAGAAAGAAAACGGAGCATTCATTTAAACTTTCCCTTTTCATTTGTGTCTTTTAACGGTGTACTTTTATCGCTGAAATGCAAAACGTCTGTCTTGAAAACCACCCCATTCGATAACCAGTCTCTTCTACTAACTATGGTGTGATTCGCCGATGACTTGACAGCTTTAGCTCCGTGTTTTATACTCTCATAAAACATGCTTTTTTCACCTATCAGATTGCGCATCGGAACTTTATTATAATCAATGAGAAATGACAGGAGGAGCAAATGGAGATCTCTCGCCTTCTTCCACGAAAACTAGGGGGGAAAATGTCCTAAGAGACAGTAGCGATAAAATAAGGAAGGCGAAGAAGCAAAAAAAGACCGAGTCGAGAATGAATTAATAAAAGCAGAAAACTTTTCAAGGTTAAACAGGTTTGAAAAGATAAAAGTGAGGTACTGACAATGAAATCTCTCAAAACTAAAAACATGTAAAATACAGTGTTGTGGATCATGATCGCCAACGAGCCATTCGAGCGAAGACTCGAGGATGGCAAGGCGGCAGCATAATAAAGTCGCGCAAGACTGGGGAATAGGAAGAAAAATTCTAGATCGAGTTTCAAAAAGCCGATGTGACCCGTAACCTGATGTAATGTAGATTCCACTGAGACTTTGGTTTGAGCCAATTGCGACGACGGAAATATTGGAACTAATGAAAAGACGTGTTAGATTTTGGTGACCAAGTGGTGACTGTTATCAACCAATCAAAAGTCTGTACCTGGCGCACATGTGTTCCTTCGCTATCCTTTTGCTTCCTTCGTGCCTTTGCGTACGGGGATTCTGTGGGGGTTTAAAAGCGTTTGGTGGAGAAGGTGAGTTTGTTGTTGTTGTTGTATTTTTTTTTCGCTTTTGTGTTCATTGAACTGTGATTAATTTCATAAGGTCTGAGACCCAGAGTAAATACAGTGGGTCAAGAGACCAAATCTCACCAACGCGTTCGCCACTGAATTGAACTCTTGACTAGCGTGTTCATCAATCGAACCAGAGTGTTTCCCCTCACTTTGGTCATATTGAACTGAAAGTTTAACTGGCCAGAGTGCCTTTGCAAAATACTTGTTCTCATACGAATTTTCGAGGAAACTGACGGACAATATCAATACTGATCATGATCGAATCAGTGTATTCTCAAATCGAGTCAAAGTAATGGCAGGCGAAAACATGTTCAATTCACGGTTCAATTCCCGCAATTATCAATTCAGAGTAGTAGAGGAAGAGCGTCTTGATCTGTTGGCTAATATAATGAAACACTTAACTCACATTTGAAAATGTCTTAGTATGCTTTTTCGGTATCCGTAGATACTATTTTAAAGCAATTAATTATAACTAGTAATACACTTCCATAAATGCTTCTTTAGTTAGAGATCAAAATAACTAAATTTGATCTCATGTCCCTGTGTTAACTGGTGGAAACTAATGTTGGCAAACCTTTCAAGTTTAATTTTGTTTTGAGAACAACAAACGCTTAGAGCTAAAAAATAAATCCTTGATAGTTAAAAATCCTTTTGCTATATGGTTTACGTTTTGTTATGTTGTTTTCAGATCTCCAGCCTATACATGTCATGCCAAAAGACAACACAAACTCAGGTAAGTATAAATGGCTGTAGTTTGAAATATTTGAAGATTTCAATCCCAAATTAAACTTAATAAAACAGGAAGCATATTGCCGTTTTGTTGAGTCACGCGGCAGGAGGGTTCAGGGTTGGGGGGGGTATGAAGGGTGCCTCAGAATTGAGTACTAAAAAACAAAAATTGTCTACATTTCGTTTAATTAGTTACCTGAAGAACCCCTTCATAATCTTCACTAAGTCTACCTTTTTCCGACCATGTTTGGTTACGTATGGATAGAACATTGTATTTAATATATATTAAGTTGTTGAACATTAATATCATATTTCATATCTCATTTTATGTTAATTTCCGCTTTCTTAGATAACCACGTGGCTACATTCAGAATTTAAGCCCTTTGAAACGCTCAAGAATTTGACCTCCAAAGCAGCCCATCCAAGTTGAGACTAGTTGTGGCATTTAATATTGCATGCCACTCCACATTACAAGAACAAGAGACATCAAAAACAGCTGTAACCCTAAAAAACACTGAGGAAACCAACAATGATCAAATCATAACCAACGAACAATCAATGGTCAGGGTTACCCTAGCCTTTGACATTGATTTTGATTATCAACCCATCCATCAATCTCAAAAGACTGCGCCCTCAGCTCAGCCTGCCAGAAAGATTACATTTGAATAGCTCCTACACTTCAAGTCAACCAGAAAGTGTCAAATGTCGCTGCATCAATTCACTGGGAAATGAAAATCCTAAACCTGTTCAACTAAAAACATCAAAGGAGATGACATCAGTGAAGGAAGAACGTGTTCTAGATGATGAAACTGGGACTGTCGGGACTGCAACTATTCATGTATAGGATGTACTTATTAACCAGATCAAAAGTGGCAACACATATGAGACTGAGAACCTTACTGGAAAGCAGTTCCAAGGAATCACCCATTTAGGAACAACACGAGCAACAACCTATAAAGAGGCCAATCAGAAGCTGAAAACTCTAAATGGCCCTGCATTACTCAAAAATCTTGAGATGGAAGTAGGGAGATTAAGATGATAAACAAACTTAGCATTTATACTACCTGTCAAACATGCAAACGAAAATTAATGAAATATTCCAACAAAAATCAGTCAAGCGTAAAAACTGCAGCATGAAAACGAGATGCATCTGTGCAACTACTTCTACCTTTGGCTGACAAAGACGTGTGGTTAACAGCATTTAAAGATGGACTGGAGTCCCTATTTGCCACCCACCCAACACTCTCCTTACTTAGTGACTCGGATACCATGTTCATGAGGAACTGCTAGTGGATATAACAGACATCGATTTTACATACAATAGGAACAGAAAATAATCACAAAATTTTCATCATCTTCACTTATTAAACTGCTCTGGATAGTCTTGCTACTACAAACTTTACAAAGGATAATTTGATTAAAACATTCAGTTTCGTTTTTCATGGTCTTTCATCACAGTGCGGCACAGTGCGGACCTAAATTAAAGGTCAAATGAACCAAAATGTCGACATTTTTCTTCCAGTTCAGTTTTAGTGAAATGTGTTTAAGATGATCCAAATAAACATACCATGAGGTTTCAGCTCAATTGAAGCAAGCATCTCCAAGATATTCGCAATTAATAATTGCTATTTCTTGGCCCTTATTTTCGTACAGCGGTCGGAAAAACTGTCGAAGAATACTCGACAACAATAAATTGTGACGTCAAAGTTGGTGATGTCAAGTCTAGTCAGGTCAAGTTGGCTCAGAAATGATGACTTTTTGGTGCAGCTATAACCTGCACTAATCATTCCAATTGCTAGCCTTGATCATATGCCTTGGAGTACCCTGCAAAAAGTGCCTAAACTATGCTTTATTTTGTAATAGGTTGTGGTTTAGTATTGATGTATTAGTTTTGAATTTAATTTGTTATCGTTGTTCCATACTTTATCACAGCTCAACCACGCAGTAAAGGTAGAAGCGGGCTAAAAAAGTTGGCCACCGGCTACTAAACCATTTTCAAAGAAAATGAATTTTCTATACCTATATTTCGCAAACTAGAACAAAGAGAAAAATTCTGACATGTCCTGACACCTGGATCACTAGCTTAAAAAAATTACAACCACTTGCTAGATCCCTAGATTGCGTGGATGTTACATGTAAAAGAGCCCCAAATTACAGGTTTGTTATTTTCAATACAAAATTACGTAGAAGCAAGAGCCATTATGGCTCTTGGTAGAAGTGATCCATACATGTATGTACTCATCAGGTCTTCATTTTCTAAATATTGTTATAGTAAAGTTCAGATATAACATGCACTGAATGGTTGAAAAAGCGTCCTTTATGAGAGTAAATAAAGCTAAACCATCTGCCAATAGTTTGTTTTGAAATCATTTGGAAACATTGGAATTTAACGGATTCTTGTCATAAAGCAAATAAAGAAGCCTTGATTGTGCTCTGTTCTGTTGTAAAGCACTTTAGAAGCAGCTGGAGCACTCAAGAAGTATGGAGAAACACTCGACTATATCACTTGTTTACCTCTACAGTTCTTTTGTGCTCCAGCCTTTTCCTGTGTGCTTTACAACAGAACAGAGCACAGTCAAGGCTTCTTCATTTGTTAAATTGAAAGCCATCTCAGTGATAGCTGGTTTATGCACAGAGTATTGTAATTCTCAATCTCGTATCATTTCTGATCAACAAAACGGAAACTATTTGATAAAAATCATCTTCATTTTAAACTTCCAACTTAAATCAGATCTCAGTAACTCCCTGGTACCACACCCCAAAAAGTGCGAGGGAATGATCCTTAAACGAAATCATTTTATCGGTCCCTTAGGCAGTTTAAAAATTAACCAGCATCTCATAAAATGGTCCTCAAGCTCTAAGCTGGCAACAAGCTTACGTGGACAAAACACATATCAGAGCTCAAGAGAGGGTTCGTTAACAAGCTCAATTTAATCAAACGCAGCCGCTTTTTACCCAGGAATTCGCTTTTAGATTTATATTTTAAAGTCATTTTTACCCTCGGTTACGTATGC